TTCCCCCGGAGGAGCTGGAGGAAGTGTCTGGAGAGAGGGAAGTCTGGGCATCTTTGCTTAGACTGCTGCCCCCGCGACCCGGTCCCGGATAAGCATAGGAAAATGGATGGATGGATGGATTTTTTAACAGTAACCAGTTTTGCAAGATGATAATGACCATGTGCTGTTGGCAACTGCGTCTATATTTCCATCATATGCACCTGCAAGGAACAGCTTGTTCCCTGATATTTAAATAATTGTTGTAGTAAGAGGTGATAGTACCAGCTTATTGTGAGTTTATAGAGCTCCAACTCGACATGGTTGTAAAGATGAAATCTGACATTACTGGAAGCCCTTGAGAAGGTCATCTAACTTAGATAAGAAGCTGATCTTTCAACACCTGACTAATGTAAACACAGAGACAACAAATGATTTGTGTGTACATAATGTGTGTTGTCTTGTGTGCCCATTTTATAGTGTTAGTGTGCATTTTGTATCCTGCAGTAAGTTTATCTCTGTCTGCTCTAACTGAGGGTGTGTTAATATGTCCATATACCCACCCATGAGGCGGTCTGTAGTTTTTGCATTAATTTCATCAAACTCCTTCCTGTGCCAAACATAGTGTGACTTCTTGTTCTGAAACACAAGCCAAAGGATACATGGATACATGGATACTGTGAGCACATATCTTAAAAATAATATGTGGCAGTATTTGATAGAAATAATAAACAACCCTACTGGCTTAGCCTTCAGCCACACATCAATGAGGTTCCTCTTATCTTTGCGGTCCCCCTTGCGAGAGTTAGAGGTAGGGTACTCGGGGTCTGGTGTGCCTTTTGGTGTCATGTACACCCTCCCTCCCCCCAGAATCACCTTAAAGGAATACAAAACACAAAGCAATCAGCATGCAGGTAAACGCATAGGTTTATTGTGCAGTGATATGCTTTCCTAGTGCAGTGTGCAGGCCAAAAGAGCATTCATTCATTAATTATAACAGTCAGGCATAAAACTAAATTTACATTCATATTTAGAGAAATATTATTGCAATAAGAAATGTGAGTAACCACCAGCATAACATAAAAACTTTATTTAGTTGTATCATGCATCTCTGTGTTTAAAATCAGTGGGAGTCTATCTATTGGAAAGAAAATAAAAGTGGATCAATTAAAATTTAATGGAGCTGAACTAATTGCACTGGTTCCGTTAGTTCTATGTTCCTCAGTTTCATGTGAAGCCTTAAAACCATTTAACCGGACCAAAGTCCTTGTCCACTCATTGCAGTTTGCAAATAAAATGAGTCATATAATAATAAAATCCCTCATTTACCTCATACATCTGAGCAATATAATGTAAGATAAAATTACATTGCTCGTTACCCATTTGATAACAATGAAATTACAAATAGATTACTTTTTTCTCTTTTTTTTTGTAGTTGTACATTCAACCATCTAAATAACAGTTCAGTGTTTCTAAAATTGAGCTTGACTAAATTAACAAACTTTTTATGTGGTTGTGCAAAAGTGCCTTACATCAATGTCAACATTGGTGACCAGTTGGGTGGCAATGTCAACACAGCCCTGCTGGCGGGCACTGGGGGGAAGATCTGCATCACTGTACCAACTGCGGCTGGCAGAGTGGGCATAGGCAGCAGCTGGGGAGGCATGCTGGACACGCGTGGTGGTAACTATACCCACTGATTTACCTGGAACAATGTAGAGACACACTCAGAACAGAAATAAAAGTGCTAAACCGTAAGCTAAACACTGTGTGAATATTTTTACTTTAGTGATGCTGATTCAAATTTTGTCAATATTTAGTTCAAAATGTTTTCAAGGATCTCTTTAAGACAGTTTGCTTTGGATGAAGAAACAATAACATTTGCTCAGCTATTAATGGGTGTAGTCAAAGACCCAGAGCTTTTCATTGCTTGGTGATGAAGCCAAAAGGAAGAAGTAGACAATAAAAGAGTAGTTTGTTAGTAAGCCTGCTGCCACAACAACGAACGAGAGATTTTGATAGACCTTGTCTGCTTGTAATTCATACTGGTATTAATTCAATTAAAATGCCAATAATTTTGCCCTGACCTCTTGGATTCAATCACTGAGGTTTAGATTGTCTAATGCCTAAAAGCTTAATGGCTTAGGCTTAAGTCAAAACAAATATTTCAGTACTATTTAACACAATGCAATCAATATATCTCTACTTTTCAGTGACACTATGTAGTACACTGTACTAATGGCTCAGAGACACATAAAAGCAATATAACACATAGCAAATATAAACAATTTGTAATGTTACTACATATAACGAGCACACAATTTCTCATAATGGACACTAATCTGCTATTTCACATGTTAAAAATGAACAGTTCCATACTCATGTCCACAGGAGGGCCTTCACTTTTGTGGTGGGCCATGTGAAATGATCGCCAAATTATATAGCTTTTGACCAGTGAACAACAAGTGATGACATTCAAGTGGCATTGTCAGATTATCAGAGAACTGTTTTATTCATCATGTTATTTTAAGGTGCATATGGTTATTGCATGCTTTGACATAAAAATGTAACTCAAACCAAATGACCTTTCCATTACCCAGCACACCCTGTACTTAGTCAAGCCATTATTGCAGCGTGCTGCTGCCAGCAAAAAAAGTACTAGGTAACAGGAAAACATTTACTGTGTTAAGGTACTTTTTTCTCATGGTGGCAGTAACACGCTGCCATAGTGTTTACCTTGTGCCTTTGCACGTCGTAGTACCGAGTAGACTTCGTTACCAAAGGTGGTGTTACACTCGTAGGCCACTGCATTAGCATTGAGTCCTACTGTCTTAGAGTTGGCTTTCACCCCACAGTGATAAGCTGTAGCTGTGCTGGCGCTGTCTGCTACCTGCTTATCCACACTGTAGGTCTGTGGAGCAGAAACATAAACAAAGACAGGACATGAAATAAACACACATTTAACAGAGATAAATGGGAACAGTGGGTGGTAGTGAACGTCATTACTGAAGTTACCTGAAGTTATGACACCTGCTTGTGCCTAGCCTGGAGTCTGGATACAACTTTCTGTTTTCACTGTTTCTACCTTAAGCTTTGTCCACAGAAATGTTTGAGGCTTAAGCCAGAGTAGGATTGTATGAGGCAGAATGTTTCATTTTAAGAAAACAAAGCATGTGGAAAATGAACTCTCAAGGTGCACTGATTTACCAGGCAACCACAGACATGTCCAGAGTTTTATATACTGTGAAACCACAAGAATAATATGCTTTTTAACCACTTACTGTAGCATGTGAAATCTATTTTGCTTTGTTTCTCACTTTCTCCTTCTTTCTCTCATACACACAGATCCATAAAGACACCACATGAGCTTGAACAACACTCAGAAATGACAAAGTTCATCCTTGGAGTCTGTCCACTGATATCATGTTGACTGTGTGTTGGTGGCCTCGTTTTTCTATACTTGTGGGGACTGAAAACCCAAAGCACACTGGCTTCACTTGTGGGGACCAGCAGCCGGTGCTCACCATATAGTTTGTTTAATTGAACAAAAACAATGCAGTGTAAAGCAAATAAATGACTAAAATAACATTTTTAGGCGCAAACTATGAAAAAAATAGTTGGTTAATGGTATATGATAAAAATTTATAGGCTGCAGAAACTGCACTGTAGACAGTTTGATAACTTGTTAATGAGTAATGACTAATGACCAACCCGTTAACAGCACTGTGTATCACCTTAGACAGAGCCACAAATGGGAAGGTGTCCATAGCCAACATTGCCTCCTCCCCTGATCCGCCCTCCATCTGGCCTCGCAGGATTCGAGCTGCTGACACCGTGGACACGCCCATCCCTGGAAGACAATAATTGGCAATTGAAGGTCACTGATATGCTCTGGTATTTTTTATTTATTTATATTTTTACCTCCACTATCTAACTCCACTGACATATTAAATGGCGTAGGAAACAGTGATTTAAGAGTCTATATTCAGAAAGTATTCATATTATGTGAAGGCTTTGTTTTTCTGTCCTTGCTGAGCTGTGACAACTGTTTTCTGTTTAGCTTGTGAGTATTTCAAAAAACCAAACCAGAAATTAGAATGTGTTTGTTTGAAAAGCTCATAATGTAACAGACATGTTCAGAAAAAGTGTTTTATTCTCTAAGAAAACAAAGTCAAAGCATGGCAAGGGCATTAGCATCAATCCACAAATGGAAAAGGGATGTAAGGCAGCGGTTTTCTAGGAGAACCACATTTTTAAATTAATCGTCACACAGGCCAACTCCAACTCCTCTGGGCAGGTTTTCACCATTCATCATTGTTTGTACAACATCTGACATATCAGCATACTCATATTGCTATGTATATAGCAGCATATATTATATAAAACTTAAAACATGTGCCTTTTGATCACTTTTCTAAAATAATTAAGGGACCTGTTTGATCTCTTTCTGTGGTCCACTATGGATTTCACCCCTGACTTCAGCCTAGCTGAAGAAGCTGTGCCTCTGTGATGACTTTAACTCTACCTTGAACATCACAGTCATAAATCTGAGAACAGGCCTTGGGCAGGGCATTACAGAGGACATGCACAAAGAAAACTCAGCCACAACCACCCAAAGATTTGACAGAAAAACTTTAGTAGTTAACAGGAAAAGTGCTCTTAAATCTCTGTGGCTTTAACAGTTGCCATTACAAAAATTACTTTCATGCCTCACCAGCTGTACATATACCGCACAAGTGACAATTAACATAATTTTTATTTTTCCAGTCACATCTCATCCAGATGGAAACTTTCCCCAACTGGCAAGCCATTCATTTGGTCGACAATAGAGCCAGGGAATGCCAAACTACACTAATAAAGGATAAGATGATAAGATACCCTAACTAGAACTGTTACATTAACTGTCACTCCACTTCCTGAAGATAAATGTCTTCCCTAAACAACAAATGATGTCACTATTAAGGCTGTACAACACAAATGTTGATCTGGAATTGTGTTTCTGGCCACTTGAATTTAAGTCAATAAGAAATATGCATTCTTCTTTTTTCCCTTCATCAACTTCTGTGCTAAAAGCTCCTTGTTACAAATTCTCCTGTTTAGTGCTTGACAAGTAGTGTACATTGGGTTTATTAAAGCTTGTTTGCCATGCTGGAAATGCAATCGATGATTAATCCTGCTCAACCATTTGAATAAATGACCAAAGCAGTCCAAAGTTTTATGACTGTATGACCACTGACTCATCAGTCTCATCATACACACACACCACTGTCCAAGCCAATTTCCCTCCATCTATTCTGAGCTCATCAAACACACTGTAATTGAACAGACCTAAGTACTGCCATCTATTTAATAACTGTAATTGTCATTGAGACTGAAAGTAGCTTTTGATGTTCAGGCGTTATCCACAGTGTAGTCAATGCTGAATGCTTGCTGGAAAAAATAAATTTTATGATGACAGCATGACCTACCATCACCAAGAAACAGGATGATGTTCTTAGCCCGGTACTTTCGAGGATGGAGTTTCAGCGCAGCATCCAGTGTTGCCCTCGCCTGAGCATCCCAGTAAGCTGGCTCTTTCTCAAGTTCATACAGTTCTGCTCCGTGGAAACACACAGACAGGCACAAATTATATTTTGCTTTGGGATAGTTAGGAAAATTGGATTTTTAAGACGTGTCAAAATGACAAGAACAGCTGAGACTTTGGTTTATGTCTGTTCCCAAAAGTTCAAGAGGAAGGAAGTCAAAAAGGAACATTCATCTGGCCACACACCAAAACAACGAAGGACAAACAGTCCATCCCACATTTTACATAAACAGGTTGACACAGGCAACAAAAAAAGAAAAAGAAAAACCTCATATAGTTTTGTGTATCTACCATACACTCTCCATTACACCTGAGTCTGTGCTCACAGACAAGTACAGTTCTCAAGAACAGTCTGTTTTAACACACTCAGCCTTTCAGAGGTTGAGGTTACCTGCTTAAGTCCTCCTGCACGTCCATTTGTTTGCCCACAAGGTACTACTAATATCCCAACCGCAGGCAGCAAAAACAACTCATCTCCTCACCTTGGCTCTCCATAGCAGCCTGGCCAACAGCCATCAGGATGGGGCCCAAAAGGGCGAGCAGAAGATCGGGGGCCTTGTACTGCTGCATTTGCATCTCAAATCCAAGTGACCTGGAGGCTGGAGAGGTTGGACTCAGCTGGCTTTCAGAGCGACACACCGACACCAACAGGCAAAGGCACAGGAGAGTGTGTGTGGCTGCTGAGACCTCCAGCCCTGCCTTTTTAAAGCCCCACTGGGTGTGCTGTAAGGACAGGCCCACACCAGCTCATAGGCTTAAAGTCACAAAAGCGGGAAAAGAGAATATACTGAAGGAGGAAGAGTCAGTTTAGAGAGAGGAAAAGAGACAGAGAAGCAAGGACCACACAAGAGTACAAAAGCATCACAGCCGCTCTACTCACTTTGTTTCCTGAGAAAAGTACCACAGCTTTTTTATTGTTTTAAAAGGTTGGTTTAGTTTTGTTCTTCCTCTTTTCCCTGGTTTCCCAACTCTGAAATGTGTGTGATTGAAATCTGAATGGTCATTTAATGTGGTAAATATATAATGGGTTTTTCTAGGCAGCAGCCCCTTTAACAGGGAGGTTGTCTTGGCATTCATCACTATACAAATCATAACTATCTCTCTTTCCATTAGCCCCCCCAACCCCCACCATATTCCATGAAAGCCAGTCCAAGGAAAGAAAGGGAACAAGATCCATCCTATTCTTGAGAATGTCATGACTGAGGCTGAACCTTGATGTGCTCTGCTTTTCGTGTCAGGAAAATGGTGATATTTCCATTCCCCCCTTCAGAATGTTTTGCATTTAAAAGACCCTGATATTTTCCCTCTCTCCCCACGTCATCTTGGCTGTTTTTTCTGTGGGAAGTGAAGTGGGGTTAGCATTTTTCTTCAGTGAGGTAGTGGAGACAGCATGCAGAATGATAATATTTCTCTTCTCCGCAAAAACATCAGTTAATGTGTGAAATAAGGTGAGCTGTGCCAACTTTATTCCACACAGCCAGAAGAATCAAATTCCCAGCAAACGACTCTTGCCTTGTGAACCCACGAGACAGACTCTTATTACAATTCAGAGCTCTGGAAGACCTCTGGTTTCTACCAACTGCTCACTTGTTGCCAACAGGAGCTTGCAGTTAGTCACATGTGCTTAATCAAGGCTGTAATAAAATCATATCAACAATCTGGGTAAAGAGGCCTCACATGATGTGGTCCACACCACATTAACTGGAAATACTAACAGCAATGTACAAGAACAGGAAACATGAGACCTGTCTATTGGTCCATTTGTTATGGGTTTGCCCCTGAGAGAGAAAGCCCTGCTCACATTGGGAAAGACAAACGTGTCTTCTGTAAGACAAGTGTAAACACCTTGGTGCTGGTTTTGGGCTCAGCATGGATCATTCATTCACTGAAAGGTGCTTAGGCACTTTTGTTGGGTGATTATATGGCAAGTGTGAATACTCATGGGAAGGCATTAAACTGCTGGGAATTTAGAAGACTAATGTTTACAAAGCAGTGCACAACAATGTCTACTGTATATTTCAGGAATAAAATCAAGTTCTGATGTCCAACATTCAGCATCTAAAATTGTGGCAGGATCCAGAAGGGAAACATTCCTGTCAATGTTCATTTTAAAGTATAAAAAAATATACACTGGTTTTATAGTTACACACATACATCTTCATACACAAAAGCTCCCCTTCATTCCAGCATCTAGATCCTGAGTGCCCATCTAAGTAAATTATAAATATTATACTCTATGTTCCTTTCCTTCGCTCTGATCTTAACATGCTGGGATCCTTTAACCTATAGATCCATTTAATTACAGTGGTTAGCCAGTTTTTAAATCTAGATTACAACTCATGAAGGGAAATGTTTAGACTCAGGTTGTCAAAGCAAGGACATACAGTCCATGTGGGTGGTGCAATAAAAACCTCAGAGCCACAGTTTCAAAGGAAGAGCCAAATCCTCTTCCATAACATTTAAAAGATGGCCTTTAAAAGAAAATTCTTGGATATGACAAAAGAGAGACATTAGGCCAGTGATGAAAGTTATAGCTGCTACATGGATGACTCTTAAAGAAGAGTCATCCTGTAGGAAAAGGGAAGTAGACAGACTGCAAGAGAATAACCACAGAGACAGGTTGTTGGAACAATTGCGCAAAGTTTACAATTTAGCCTTGTCACAAATATGAACTCAAAGACACAAAACAGATGAAGATGATATTTTAAGAGGGACAATGAATGATATAACTGCTTTTATGAGAATTATTGATGACTGAGATCCCATATCAGCACAGTTGGAAGGACAGTCATAAAAAGGTCTTACTGCTGGCATGCAACACATTTGGAGGACAAGCAAAGTACCAAGAGACTCTTGTCTTGACGTAAGACTACTCACAGCACCTATGGCAAGAAATTGCTACCTCGACATCAAACAGTCTTACAGCTTTGAGAAGTGCCCCCTTCTTAGAATTAATAGGACTCATAAAGGCAAAATGGGGTTTATCCTAATTAGAATAAGCCATGTGTGTGTATGTGTGTGCATGTATGAAATAATGAGAATGGAAATTAAAGTGGTTTAGCAAGAAACAGAGAACATGTGGGCATGAGAGAGACTGAAAGAAAAGTTGATGTGTACGAGAAAGACATGCACGTGTGCATGGAAATATGTCAGCCTGCTTCTCTGTGATGTTTTATAATTGACCATGGTTTGTTATGTCTGACTTCAGACTTACAAGTTATGACATGGAGAAAAGTAAATTGCGGTAAACTCATATCCAGGCTTGTAATTCCATTTTTACTGTGTGCAAAAAATACTGCATCATGTAAGAATTGTTTCATGAGCATATTGCAAATGCATCAAATCTTTGCTTATGGCTGTTGGTTTGTTAATCATCCCTTTATTCACTCTCTTAGCAACATCACAGTAATAAAACTCAGACTCACCTGCACGGCCACATACAGTGAGGAAAAGTATTAACACTATCAGTTTGCCTCTGAGCCTTTAAGCCTTTTTCAGCTCTCAGACTTAACTCTTTTTTTCCAAATATTACAGTTCCCATATAATATACAGTTCCCTCCACTTCCTTTTTTATGGTGCTTCACTTCTTCTATTTTTGTATCTCCTGTTTTCTTGAGTCTCCAAATGCAGAATGATTACAATCTGCAACAATGGCTGGCAAAATTTCTCACTTCCAAGGTATCCATGGAAGTAATAAATGACTGCTAGAGAACAAAAACTTATTTCCTTCCACCACTACCACTTTATAGGTTTGCCTTGCTTCTTTGTTTAAAATAGAAGCAGAGGGGTGGGTGTGTGGTTTAGGGGACACACTCATTTGAACACATATTTGTACAGTATATGTGCATAATTGCACAAGCAGCAGTTTGCATCAGAAATATCTACTGTATCAAATCAGATTCCCTCCCCAGGCTGTCCATCTTTTTCCCCCCACAGTGCATCAAATCTTAATGTTTTTCTCTCTTGGTCCTTTGTGGACACATGTCTGTCAGCAGCTCACATAGGTTTGGGCTGCAGGAAATGTCTGAATTGGTTGAGAGGAGTAAAAGTGGGACAAGTATGTAGAGGCTTTTCATACCAAGATAAACTTGTACACTAATTAGCTAAATGTTGATTAAAATCCAGGATTATGCAGGAACACAAAAACTGTGGATATTCATAGAGATACTGTATTTTCATATTGAGGATAGAGTGTGGTCTGATGGGATACCTGCCTTGCATTCCTTGCTTTCCACTCAACAAAGCACTCTGATCGCCTCCACATCAAAAGCCCTTATTACAGAAGCCATCACACATGTACAGGAGGATTCAGGGAGATGGAAGGGGGGCAGCCACACTTTTACTGCATACAGAAGTATCATTCAAAACAAATCAGTTTCAGCTGCCACTTGTCTCACCTGGCAAGAACCAAACCAGGCAGGAACACAAGAAACAGCTTAACACTAGACAAAGATCAATGTGCCAAAAGAATGCCAAATCTTTTTATTTAGGTCAAAGTAAAAGTAAGTGAAGGCGTAGATGGTGAATGTTAAAAAATCAAGACAAATCAGTTTGGTGGAATAGCAAGCTGAGCTTTGCTCTTCTTCCTCACAGCCTTTGTTGTCCCTTCTGAAAAGGTGCCAGAGAGAGTTTCCTTTTTCTGCATGGCCACCCAGGCGTGATTCTTGTGCTTGTGGAGAGAACATTGTGTCAGGTGGTGAGGTCGGGAGACGCCGGCATTGGCGCTTGAGGTCAGACATAGGTTTATTTTCCTAGGCAGGCCTCTGTCCAAAAACATCCTCCACAGCGCCCTCAGTGTCCGCCAGGTGCTGACCAGACGGAGCCTGTTAGTGGTGCAAGGAAAACTGCTGTGGAATGGACAGCTTCTTTCATTCCACTGCATTCAGGTCACACACTTATGGATGGACTACCAATAAGCCATGTGGTGGACATTTCTTGGGGACCACACTGGACCACCCAGCAGACTGTATGTATTGTAGATAATTCTTTTAAAAATTCAGGAATTTATGTAAACTACAGGCTTCATCAGTGACCTTTATGCACTACAAAAACAGTAATCTTTTCTTTTTCTCTGCCACAGTCCCCATTTGTCATCCCTTTGACCTATAAAATCATTTCTGATTTCACACAACATCTTAATGTTGTGTAATGTTCTCTAATGTGAACAAGCACATTGCAAACCTCCTGCGGTAATGCATACATCACAACCTTCACTGATCTAGAATAAATGTACATGTACAAGCATTATTTTTGTCTGTTCTGTGCGTTTGTCACGCGTTCAGTCGTTGTCTGTTGCTCTCAGCACAAATTATACACCTTATGGTTCCAAAGAAGGTATTAATCTCTCTGAGCCCTTCACAAGATATCTTTACATTACTAGTCATTTTTGGCTTGTTATTCAATCAGCCACCTTGGATCAATGGCTGGATTAGGAAGAAATTTTATATAAACATTGATGGTGGCCATTGTTTTTGATGATTCCTTGACTCTTCTTTTAGCGACTACTGAGATAACTATTGAATTATGGATTGTACCCAGAGGATGAACCCAAATGATGCTGATGATTCATTGACTTT